AAACTTGGCCTCTAAAGATGTAATGGATGGCCCAGTGCAGTGGTACGTGCCTGTCCCTGCAGTTCAGGAGGCTGAGACAGGAGATTCATGAGTTCAAAGCCAGCCTCAGCAACTGCAAGGCACTAAGCAACTCAGTAAGACCCTGTCTCTAAATAAATAAATAGGGCTGGGGTTGTGGCTTAGTGATAGAGAGCTCGCCTAGCACCTGTGAGGCACTGGGTTGATCCTCAGCATCACATAAAAATAAAATAAAGGTATTGTGTTCACCTACAACTAAAGTGTGTGTGTATTATATATAATTTTTTAAAAACGTAATGGGTACTTGGAATAAAGGGTTTCCAGGCAGAGGAAATGGCTTAACAAAGACAGGATATACCAAAAGGAATATTTATATAACAGCAAATGCCTTAGTTTGGTCTGTTAAGAGGTTATCAAAACAAATAAACAAACAAACAAAAAGACTGAAAGGACAGCTCACTCACAGACTTACCTGCCTAAGACTCCTGAGCCTGGGGCTGAGGCTGTGGCTCAGTGATAGAGCACCTGCCCAGCATTCTCAGCACCACATAYAAATAAATGAATAAAATAAAGGTCCATACATCTAAAAAAAAWATTGAAAAAAAGAATCCTGAGCCTTTTCCTGGGTTTTGAAGCAGGTAAGACTAAGTGGGATAATTTAGGATTAATCTGTAGACCAAGCTCATTTTTCCCAAGGAGAAAACTCATTCATGCATCTAATTCATAGTTTCTTGTGATAACAGCCAACCTTTTTTGAGATTGTTGCTACATGCTAGATACATACTAAGTAATTTACATGCATTTAGTTCATTTCGTCCTCAATTTTATGATTCACCTCCATTTTAGAGAAGAAATAGATCTGGTGAGATAATTAGCTCAGGATCAAAGAGATAAATGGGAAATGATGATGAATAAGTAATTTAAGATGACTGAATAGGAAAATTAGGTGCCTTACAAGCAGTCAAATGGAAGGATTAGAGAAAAGGTAACAAAGTTTGATTTTAGATTGAAGCTGAATTTCTTTTTTTTAATATTTTTTTTTAGTTTTAGGTAGACACAATATATTTTATCTTTTTTTTTTTAAAGAGAGGAGAGAGAGAGAGAGAATTTTTTAATATTTATTTTTTAGTTATCGGCAGACACAACATCTTTGTTGGTATGTGGTGCTGAGGATTGAACCCGGGCCGCGCGCATGTCAGGCGAGGGCGCTACCGCTTGAGCCACATCCCCAGCCCACAATATATTTTTATCTTTATGTGGTGTTGAGGATCGAATCCAGTGCCCTGCACATGCTACCACTTAAGCCACATCCCCACCCCTGAAGCTGAATTTCTGACAGCATTCCTCATGTTCATTAACATGTATTGAGTACTCACTGTGTACCAGGCACAGTTCTAAACCTTTCTTCAGAAGTCTCACAATGCATTCAGGACAAACACCTCTGCCTAAGATACTCCCTTGTCCAGCACCCTGGCAAGAGGCGGGAACTATTTATTCAGTGATATGAGTAACATACTTTTCATTTATTTTTCAAAACCACCCCTTGAAGGTAGGACAGCATAACCAATTTATTGATAAAACCTAAGAAATACTGGAAAGAGTTCAGGGCTGGAGATGGCTGATTTTTTAGTCTACAGAACTAAAGCTGGAGTATGGTCTTTTTCAAGACCGCTCCTTTGATGGCTAATTTTATAACTTGAGATGCTAAGATATTTAGTTAAACATTATTCTGGGTGCTTGCAAGGGTGTTTTTGGATGAGCTCAACGTCAGAATCAGTAAAGGTTGCCTTCCCAAATATGGGTGGGCTTCATGCAAGCCATTAAAAACCTGAGTAGAATACAGAGCTTGAAAATCATTCTTTGAGCTCTGGGGAATTGGTTTTCTGCCTTCAGACTCAAACTTGAACTGAAAATTGTATCATTGGTTCTCCCATCCTTTGATTTGAACTGGAACCATACTATCACTAGGTCTGCAGCTTCCTGGGTATAGATCTTGGGCTTCTCAGCCTCTATAATCATATGGGTTAATTCCTTATAGTAAATCAATATCTCCAACCCCTACCACCATTCTAGGGAATATTTTATTATTTCTCTGGAAAACAGATAAATATATAGTCCCTCAAGTGTTGTGTTTTTTGGCAGTACTGGGTGCTTTACCACTGTGCCACAAAACCAGCCCTTTTTATTTTTTGAGACAASCTGTCGTGTCGCTAAGTTGTCAGAGGCTGGTTTCAAAGTTGAGGTCCTCTTGCTTCAGCTTCTGAGTGACTGGGACTCCAGGTGTGTGCCATAGTTTCTTCAGGTTTGATGATTCAGTAGGCCTTCAAAGGACTGAGCATTTGTACTAATGTTATTTAATACAGTAAAAGGATACAAAGGAGAATCAACCAAAGGAAAAGGTAGATGGGGCATGTCAAGAAAAAACCAGGCACATGCTTCCAAAAATCCTCTTTCAGTGAAATCACAGAAAGTACTTAATTCCCCTAGCAGTGGGTTATAAGTGTGAAATGCCACCAACCAGGGAAGCTTGCTGGAGATTCAGTGCCCAATGGAGGGTGGTCACATAAGCACTTTCTGCTCAGCACATGCTAAATTTCCAGAGTCCCAGAGAAAAGCAACTGTCCAGCATAAAACATGTTGTTTGCATATTAGGCACAGTGCACCTTTTAGGGAAATAGTGGGAACTCTACTGAATCTAAGTTCCCAGATGCCAGGCAGAGGCCAACTTTTTAAGACCTTTCACTTTTTATGACCTGAATCTCAGGCCAACTATGTTAACTCTTTTCTGCATAAGGAATGAATGAGGACACGTAAAGTTTCAGTTAAAAAAATTAAAATCTCTTAATTCTAGGCTGTAGCACTGTATTAAACACTTAAGTCACTAAGGGTTAAAAATTATTCATGGGCTATATTTGTCAAAGGAATCAGGGTAATAGTGGTAACTTAAGAAAACATGCTGTATTCTTGCTGAATAGCTTTAGGGCCAAGACTAGGTTTGAGGCTGAGGGAATTATTTGTTTATGTAAAACACCCTACATGCTTTAAGTGGATTGYGGATTGGATACAGATGTCAAAATGTTAACTAATATCCCAAAGTTGGATTTATTTATTATTATTAATTATTATTATTATTAGGATTTAACCCAGGGGTGCTTTACCACTAAGCTTCATTCCTAGTTTTTTTTTTTTTTCCTCTTCAATTTTTTTATTTTCAGATAGGCTCTCATTAAGTTGCTCAGGGCCTCAATAAGCTGCCAAAGCTGGCTTTGAACTTGAGAGTTTCCTGCTCCAGCCTTCCAAATTGCTGGTATTATAGGCATGTATCACCACACCCAGCATAGTTTAAGAATGCTTACCAACAGTAGCTCCATCAATAAGCAACAGATGGTTAACATAGTCACTTTATATATATACTGTTAATCCTTACAACAACCTTGAAAAATAGTATTTCCCACAAATGGACTCAGTAAAGGTAACTTTTCTAGAGCTTTAATGCTTAAAAAAATGGCAAAGCTGACATTCTACCAAGTTTGCAATTCCCATTACACCTAAAAGCTTCCTTAGGTTTGGAAGGGCTTATCTCTGGGACTTTGCTGCTTTCTTAGACTCCCTGTTTGCCACATTTCAAATCTGTCCCCAGTYTCAGGAATCAGACCTCTCTATCAGTATAAAGCATAGTTTGATCTCATCTTGTGATTAGAATTAGAGAGCCCTGCTTTTAAAAAGCAACAAGTGTGCCACCAAAAAAAAAAAAAACAAAAACAAAAAAAAACCAAATACAGTCCTACAGATGTTTATTAAAAATGTTTTCTGGAGTGTGTGATTAACAAAGAGCTCTCTGAAAAGCATTCTCCCTTTTCCTTTGGGTTTTGCCTTTTGCTGAATGTTTATTTGATCCCTACCACCAGCACCACATAATTGCATAATCTTTCCATGGTTACACTTATGGAGCATTTTCCCAAACAACTAAGCTTTTTCATTAAAAAATATTATAGTATGGCTTTAAAAGGGTGAGAAACCCCTTGCTTTTTAAAAGGGAACATGCAGAATTTCTGGATACAACAAGAAAAACACTTTGGCCTAAAATACACCCTGGTTTAAAATCTGGAATATTGGTGTAGGGAGATGATGAAAGACAATTTCCCGTTGGCCTTTTTTTTTTTTTTTTTTTTTTTTGTAGGGTGCAGTAGAAGGAAATAGGAATAGAAAGTTGAACTGTCCCAGTAGTTTTCTAGGAGAAATAGCCTTAATCCAAAATTCAATAAGAAAAAAGCTTCACTGATATTACTGTAAATATACTCCTTTTATGGGAGGCATTTGAAGTTAAGATATGTAAGTATAAAAAGAAAAGATTAAAATTAGACCTGAAACTCCAAATTTGTAACCAGAACACAAAGGATCACACAGTCTGAATTTACTTAAGACTGCCTTCCCCACCCCACCCCTAGTGCTGGGGATTGAGCCAACGCCTTATACATACTAAGCACTCACTCCAACCCCCATGATTGTTATTTGTGGTCCAGAAAATGTATCTCCCACCTCTATGAGCAAGTCTAGATAATCTCCCTCAGGAACCTCTGGAATGTGCATTAGAATCCTAAAGCCCCATCCCCCAGCCTTGAGCACAGTCACAGAAAGGATTTTGCCCTTACTTACTTGACAATTACTTTTGATCCCACAGTGAAAAAGTCTACCTTCTGAGCAAGGGGTGGGTGGAGGGCGGACCTGAGATGCTCTCAAGTTACAGCCTTTCCTCCTCCCCTCAGGAAGTAAAGTCCACTGGCAGGAAAGCCTCAACTGGCTCTGCCCTACAATGCTCACTTGTTTTCACAGTGCAGCGGAATGAAATGGCTTAGAAAAAAAGAGTAACTTTCTACGAAATAAGTCTGATTTATTTTTCCTCCTAAATTGCCTTGTCTGCAGGGTATTCCTTTGGAGAGCACAACATCAAAGGTAAGGTGGAAATGGGATTGTATGCTGGGTTGATTTTCTACAAGGAATGAAATGACCAGCATCTCTTCCTGTCCAGCTTGCTCACTGGACAGCCATTCCGCACACTGCTGATTCTCCTTTCTCCAGAAAGAAACCGCCTGCTTTCAAACTCAGTGGGAAATAACAAGTGCTGCACCCTTTCCTCAGAACATTTAGATTTTCTTTTCATTCTATACACATTTTATTGAACTCTTCCTGAGGAGGTAGAGAATACCTCATTCCTCAATGCTTTAGCATTTCTCTCCTAAGAACAAAAACAGTCCCAGTAGGACCATAAGACCATCATCATTCCCAAAAGATCCATCTCAATACAGCACCCTCTACTACACAAGTCATGTTTCAGTTTCCCCAACTGCCCTTTTCAACTTTTTTTTTCTGATGCAGGATCCATTAAAAGAACAGGTATTGCACTTGTTGTCATGTCTATTCAGTTTCTTAGAATAGCAACAATTTAGCAAGTGCTTTATAAAGGTATTTCCTACCCTCATCCTGCCACCCAGCCCCTTATTTCTGTAGAGTCAATAGTTTGCTAGAGGACCAGGAGGATGACTCACAGCTTCTAGAATTAGCTTGCAGCCCAAGGAAGAATCTTGTGCACAATTGGAGGAGAGGCCACTCAACAATCAGGGAGGTCAGGCTTTATAGTTAACTAAATCCTTAGTTATGTCAGACACGTGTAAACAGTGAGTTTACTGTTTACCACAGAGTTTAAAGGGATAGATCAGTTTCTTATCAACTGTCTTGGATCTGTCACAGAGATCTTCCTGCACTTAAAACAGAGGAAACATCATGCTGAAGAGGGAGGGGAAAACCCCATATTACACTAAAACCTTGGATGGAGGATGGGGATGGATGATTGTGTTTCATTTTTTCCTGGTAAGTATCTGCTTTCCTTTTCAACTGCCTAGAATTTGGTGGAGAAAGCCTCAGAGTGGCCTAACAAGATCACTTAGAAAATCCTTAGTATCTGAGTGAACAGCAGGCCAGGAACTGTTCATACTGCCAAAGTCAAGAGGCCCATGCTGGGCCAAAGAGAAAGCTGAAATGTTCCCCTTGAGTAAAAGCCAAGGGCTTCTATCTAGTACTCTATTCTTCCTACCATTGCTTAAACCTAGCAAATGCTCCTGTCATGATCAGCAAGCTCTACCTTGGCTACATGGKAATTAGGATTTGGGGACAATGATACTTTTAATCAACATAGATGTAGCACTAGGCAGTGTTTAAAAAGTGCCTGGCTCAGCCCAGCATGAACATATATAACCCTTTCACTGATAGGGATGGGTACATTTCCTCAGTTCAGCCTGTTGCTTACTTTCCAATCTCCCACTCCCAATAACCATAACTTAAACTAGAATTAGACCCAGTGCATACTTGATTTGTCTGGAAAGGAAGGACATTGATTCCAAAAAGGGAGATTATTTTTCTCCTGCAGCCATAAGTAACTAGACTAGGCATTCCATTTTATTATAAGTTAACTTCATTCCCTCTTTCTTCCTCTCAGGGTTGCTAAATGATAGTGGTGATGTATGCCATCCATGTATCTATTCTAGAAAGTTGGTAAATCCTATCATAGTTGTGCCCTAAACAACCCTGCACAGCAGCACCAGCTCCACATTTTTTTTGGGGGGGGGTACTGGGGGCTGAACCCAGGGGTCCTTTACTACTGGGCTATATCCCAAAGCCCCCCCCCCTTTTACTGTGGGACTGAGGATTGAACCCAGGGCCTTGTGCATGGGAGGCAAGCACTCTACCAATTGAGCTATATCCCCAGCACTGCACTCCTTCAAAAGACTTTTGAATTTTTTTTTTTTTTTTTTTGAGACAGGGTCTAAGTTGCTGAAGCTGGCCTTGGATCTGTGATCCTTCTGCCTCATCCTCCCAAGTCACAAGGATTATGGTCATGTGCCATGATACCTGGCTTCCACAAATTATTATGTGTCCAAGTCTGCTCTATTAACTTTGGAGATGCATTCACACACATGCCCTCTATCTCCTAAAGCAGCCCCTAGCCATGGGAGCACAGGTCTTGATGACAACCTGATATCCACAATGTGGACAACTAAGGTATCTATGAATATCAGAGATGGAAAACATCATGCCYTCTCCCTAGTGACAGAGCCGGAAGAACAGAGATACCTGGCAAGATTTATGTAATATGAAATTCATAACAAATATAGAACTATCTAATAAATATTAGCTTCATTACCAAAGAATATGGAATGTTTCTTACTAATACGGAAACCAAGGATGCCCTACGTCTAAGAGTCCTTTCTGGCAAGGCCGCTTCCTAAATCATATTCAGCAGTGTTATGTGTACATTGTTAGCAAGGGTCACTAGTTGTTCCACCTTTCTCCCCAGGAACCACCCTTTCTATGGCTAGGAAATTACTTGATCTTACTTGCTGGTAAGAAAAGCTGGCTAATAACCAGATTAATAAACAATGCCTTGTTTTGGGAGTGATGCATAAAATATATCAAGATGTTAACAACGAGAGGGTAAGTGCTCACAGTGGTAATGTGGATCCTTAAAGGACTATGCTTATAGTTCTGTATGAATCACAAGAATATTTCTCTATAACAAGTTAACTCCTGAAAACTAAGTGAAAAATAACTGAATATGCTTAAGGAAGCTCTCTACTTAAAACAGGGGCAGGGGATGCTAATTTACTATTTATAACTACTTGTATTATGTGTATAACTATTTTCTATATTCAATCTATCTCACTAGACTGAATGTTCCATGAAGGCAGGGACCATGCCTACATTGCTCACAAGTGTACACTATTGTACATCTAGCYCTACATCTTCCTGGGACATACAGTAGGTACTCACTAAATACCTGCTAGTGAATGGATAAACTAATAATATAGTTATGAATAACCAAATGAGTGCAGATGAAATCAGAGATGGGTAGGGTCTTGAGAGATATGCTAAAATGTTATTTCTTATCTTGAGGTTATGAGGTGCTAATGAGGAAAGTTAAGTAGGGGATGATGGAATCAGATTTGCAATTCAGAAATATAGTTCTGGTTGCTGGGTGGATAATGCCTAGAATCAAGGAGATCGATTGGGGGAAAACAATAAGGTGCTGAATAAAGGCAGTAAATATGGATCTAAGCAAATCAAGGAGACCTTCAGACTTAACAGTTATTASATGTTGGGGAGGAATCAAGGAGTCCTGGGTTGCTTGCCTAAGTAGATGATGAATGCAATTCACTGAGTTAGAGGACACAGGAAGAGATGGGTATAATGTGAAGATAGCTTGGATGATTTAATATTGGACACTTGAGTCTGAGGGACTTATAACCAAGAAAGTGTTTGGCATGTGTGTACACAAGATTTGCACAATCTGTGTCCACAGCATACATGGTACTTTTAATTTGAGGGTAAAAGATGGGTAAAATTATCAGGGAGAGGAGGGACTAGGACAAAATCTTTGGAAAACCTGATAGCCCACTRAGCAAACAGAGAAGCACTAATCCAGAAATTTTCAGAGAAAATGATATGCAGAAGCAGCTAAAAGGAAAAATATGATCGAAATGACAATTATATGARTTAGTTTAGTAGTAAAGAAGTCTCTGGTAACCTTGATAAGAGCCATTAGGGTAGAGTGATGGGACTGCTAGGACTTCAGCTTCAGTGGAGAGGTAGCATGAGAAGAAGTGGACACTCCCAATACTCTTGTTTAAAAGCTTGTAAAGGCCAGGATAAATTAGGATGGTATTTAGATGGAGACAAAGGGTAGAAAGAAGTGCTTTGTTGTTAAATAAAAATAACTCTGACAAAACCCGGTGCTGATTCCAGAATGGGTTACTGAGGCTAATTCAACTCCTCTCAAAGCCAATTAGAATGATCTGGTGAGGGAGGTCTTGCTGGGAGGGTTGGGGAAGACCTGTAGGTGTTCCTATTGGGTTCAACCCAATTACCATCTCTTAAAAACAAGCCAGGAATGGTGGGGAACTCTTGTAATCCCAGCAACTCAGGAGGCTGAGTCAGGAGTTCAAATCCAGCCTCAGCAACTAAGCAAGACTTTATCTCAAAAAATAAAAAGAGCTAGGGATGTGACTGAGTGATTAAACGTACCTGGGTTCAATCCCCAGTCCAAAAAATAAATACAAATTAAAAATATTTTTTWAAATAATAACAAAAAAAGGCAATGAGGGAATATATAATTTCTAGTTTTGGGTGTTTTTTTTTTTTTTTTTTTAAACCAGGGGTTGAATCCAGGGGTGCTTAACCATGAGCCATACCCCCAGCCCTACCCCCTTTTTAATTAAGTTTGAGAAAGGGTCTCACTAAGTTGCTGAGACTGGTTTTGAACTTGCAATCCTCCTGCCTCAACCACCCAACACTAGAATTACAGTAAGTGCCACCGTGACCAGCAAGGATTTTTGTTTTACTTGGGGGTTAGCCGTTATTTCAATCTCATATGGGCTCTGGTAAAGGAAAACCCACCAACCTTCGTCTAAGGCATGTGATTAAGCTCACAATTCAGATTTATGTAGTCTTTGTCAATTAAGGGAAAACATAGACCTTAGGAAAGGTCTTTAATTTTTTTAGTTGAAATAAAAACAAAGGATGGAGGTATCAAGTTAAGGGAGTGGGACAGATGGATGCAAGAGTTCTGCCCTTGACCTTCTGATAGTTTGTGTCTTCCATTGTGTATCAGAAGGTCAACTAAGTTTTGGGAGATAGATTGTAGCTATTCACAGTTGTTATAACCAGACATCAAGCACAGACTAAAGAGGAAAGGTACTAAACCACAGGCCTGTAGCTAGCCAAATTCGAACAGAAAAGAACACAAGTCAGCACCCTGTGGACACCAGAACAGAACCCACATCCACAGAAAAAAGAAAGCTTATTTTGCAGAATGACACCTCACTTGAGTGCTCTTTGCTCATGAGAGAACACAATCTGCTTTAAACTAAGAAACAAGTTGAAACTTGTATTTCCTAGCTTGATTTTCTTCATAGAAGTGTTCTTGGAAGAAAATTATGGTTATAAATGGCCTGAATTGGGGAACTGATTGTCTTTTAGATCCTGTCTCAAAAAGGGCTGGAGATGTGGCTAACTGGTAGGAACACCCCCTCCCCACCCCAAGTTAAATCTCCATTACCACCCCCCAAAAAATAAATAAGTGTCCCAATTTGGATGATAAAAATATATGTTCATTCTAATTATATATCATGTGAAGGAGGATACTTAGCTTAGGAGCAGAGTTAAAACAAAGCTAGACTAAGAACTRACAGGAATAATTGCTCTTCAATAGTTACCACAAAGATAACTGGAATAGCTGCCTTTAACAGATGCCAAGAGAATTGGACAGTAAAGCAGTGGTGGTTTTGAAGTCAGTCCATCTGAGTACACATCTCAGCTCCTGTAACCCCACCTTGAGAAATTTTCTCTAAACTTCAACTTTCTGTTCTCTAATACAATATTGACCTATTCCACTACATTGAAGAGGATGAGGTACTTTCATGTAGCATGCTTAACCACTCTAAATAGGAATGACTCTCCCCCAAAATACAAGATATGTAATGAGGAACCAATAAGGCAAACCAGCAAATACTAGACAGAGCAACAGAACCTCTAGCAGCTGCAAACTCCCCTCTACTGGCTTGCTCAGTATCTAACTTGGGATTTTTTGGTCTGTTTTGATTTAGGTAAATGTGTTTGTGATGGGGATGACCAAGACTTTTGCAATTTTCTTTGTGGTCTTCCAAGAAGAATTTGAAGGCACTGCTGAGCAAACTGGTTGGATTGGATCCATCATGTCTTCACTTCGTTTTTCTGCAGGTATAGTTAGTTATCAATAAGCTTGCTGTCCATGGAAAAGGACCACAAAAAGCAATTCTATGAAGACTCTTCTGTTAGTCCTTTAAGACTTACATGTTGCTAACATTCAGGTTCACTTATTAATATATATTAATATGTAATGCTGAGTAAGAGATTGCAATGTTTATCATTCACTTGGTATCAAGTTGGGAAAATTATACAGAAAAGGTCTCACTGAGTTGCTTAGGGCCTCGCTAAGTTGCTAAGGCTGGCTTTGAACATGTGATCCTCCTGCCTCAGCCTCCCAAGTTTTGGGGACTATAGGCATATATCACCATGCCCGTCTTCAATTATTTAATTCTCTGGTTCAATTTTTTTTTAGTTGTATATGGACACAATCTCTGTATTTTATTTATATGTAGTGCTAAGGATTGAACCCAGTGCCTCATGCATGCAAGGCAAGCACTCTACCACAGCGATAGCCCCAGCTCTGCTGATTCAATTTTTTATGCCTTATTTTCTTCCAGTCGGGCAAAGCCTTATTATAAGTCCAATGAGCCAGGTTCTCAACCTAAAGTTAGAGCATTAATCATCTAATCACATTCAAAACAAAACACAGAACCAATTCTTCCTCCTTTATGATTAGTATTCAAACTTATAGTTAGAAGCCACTTAGAAGTTACTAGGTCTTTAAAGAGTATACATTAACACTCCTCATTGTTTCTTTAAGATAAATTCTAAATTCCTATGCACTGAATTCCCAGGTTGAGTGAAATACAAATATTTTAAAGACTTATTTACAAATCACATAGAAAGTAAAAATTCACTTTTTCATCTGCATGATATTTCTTGGAGACTTTGTCAGTAACTGGAAAATATCTTTTCCTTCAGAAATCTTTGTTCACCACAAAGAAATGTATACCTAATATTTTAGACAGATTTCTATAGGTATTAGACAGTATGAATTTTACTGTATGTTTATTAGACATTGATTAGGGATTTGTTTATTTCCTTTTTCAGTTTTGAAGAATTTTTATTTACTAATTTCTAATAAATTAATCCATAATAATACATTTATTAGACCCTTACCTTATTCTAGATTCTGTATTAAGAAATTTTAATTGGTCCTATGTATTGTGAATATTTTATTTGTGTTTGGTATGTGTCTTTAATCCTTAAACATAAAAATATACAGAGTCTTTTAAAAATTATGTGATAAAATAAACCAGTCTTTCATGGTTTCAAAAAAAAAAACAAAAAAACAAAGCAGCCATCTAGTAAAATCTCATACTGTGGCAGTTTTATAATGCATTTTCAATAAGATTCCCAACAAACCATCTTACTATCCTTTTTTAAAAAACTTTTCAGAGGGGCTGGGGATGTGGCTCAAGCGGTAGTGCGCTCGCCTGGCATGCGTGCAGCCCGGGTTCGACCCTCAGCACCACATACAAACAAAGATGTTGTGTCCGCCAAAAACTAAAAAAAAAAAAAAAAAAAAATTAAAAAAAAAACTTTTCAGAAAGCAAAGTAGTGTGAACTAGTAATGTTAAAAAACCCAATACAAACTTTTTTTAAGAATACATAATATTCCAAAGTAGAGTTTTTTCCTTCTTTCATTTAAATCACACATCAGAGAATAAGGGATGCCAAAGCATGTTTACCCAGCATTTGCCTCTCTTTCTTCTCCTAAGGTCCCCTGGCTGCCATAATTTGTGAAATACTTGGAGAGAAAACTACCTCTATTCTGGGGACTTTCCTTATTACTGGTGGCTATCTCATCAGTAGTAGGGCTACAAGCATTCCCTTTCTTTGTGTGACTATGGGACTTCTACCTGGTAAGTAAACTGTAAACAGAAGACTATAAGAGATGGAACAGGAACCTTCCCTTCTACTACCTTTGGGTCCTGAACTCCTAGTTACATTATGAGATCCAGAATATCTATCTCATTGCACTAAATCACCTATTAAAGTAATTTGTAAAATTAGATAAAGTTTAATTCCAAATTTCTGGTTTTTCTTTAAGGTTTGGGTTCTGCTTTCTTGTACCAAGTAGCTGCTGTGGTAACTACCAAATACTTCAAAAAACGATTGGCTCTTTCTACGGCTATTGCCCGTTCTGGGATGGGACTGACATTTCTATTGGCACCTTTTACAAAATTCCTGATAGATCTTTATGACTGGACAGGTAAGTCAGTCTAGGTTTCTAAACTATCAGTTCTGCAAGGTTTAATGTTCAGTTCTCTTCATTTGATGACTAGAATGATAGATYTCAAGAGCAATTGATTTCAAAAGATATTGGTATAGTATGTGCAAGGTCCTAGGTTCAATCCCCAGCATTGCAAAAAAACAAAACCTAAACCAGGCACAGTGGTGCACCTGTAATCCCAGCAGCAGGATTATCAAGAGTTTGAAGCCAGCTTTACCAAATTTAGCAAGGGAAGCAACTCAGTGAGACCCTGTCTCTTTAATAAAATACAAAAAAGGTCTAGGGATGTGGCTCAGTGGTTGAGTATCCCTGGGTTCAATCCTTAGTGCCAAAAAAGAAAAAAAAAAAAAAAAAGCTTGAAACATATTGCCAGAGAGGAAATGAGCATATCTACAGTAAAGATGCTCCTCTTCCTTTGAGAATACTCCACAGAAGAATCTTGAAGCTGGGTGTGGTGGTATATGCCTATAATTTTAGTGACTCAAGGCTCAGCCAAAAGGATTGCGAGTTTGAGGCCAGACTCTGCAACTTGATGAAACCCTTCTCAAGATAAAAAAATAAAAAGCACTGGGGATGTAGCTCAGTGGTAAAGTGCCTCTGGCTTCAATCACGAGTAATAAGAAAAATAAAATGAAATGAAAGATGAGATCTTGGGCAACCTGCTGATTTTGTCAGTTCACACAAGTATCTCAGAATTCACCAGAGTTCAAACTCTGAGAAGATGGAGGGTACTCTGTACAGCATATTTTATTTTTATGTGGTGCTGAGAATCGAACCCTGCAATGGCAGTGACATCCTGGAGAAACAAGGCTTCTTCCTTTCCCCACCTCCCTAAAACATTTGCTTTTTATATTTTCCCTTTGAGAAGAAAAAGAAAATCTGGCTGGGCACAGTGGCACACATATGAAATTCCAGCAACTTGGGATGAGTGAGGCAGGAGGATCTAAAGTTCAAGGCCAGCCTGGGCAATTCATGAGAACTTATCTGAAAATAAAAAGGCTGGGGATGTAGCTCAGTGATTCTCAGCCTTCATTATTTTTATCTTTTTTTAAAAAATAATTTTTAGTTGTAGACAGACACAATGCCTTTATTTATTTATTTTTTATGAGGTGCTGAGGACCGAAACCAGGGCCTCACACATGCTAGGCAAGCACTCTGCCACTAAGCCACAACCCCAGCCCCATTATTTTTATTTGTGGACAAGATCTCAACTTTCCAAACTGGCCTCACACTTGTGATCCTCCTGACTCAGCCTCCCAAGTAGTGGTATTACTGTTGCCTGGCTAATATACGTGTATATTTTATCTACACAGTGGTTCAATTGACTCATTCCTTTCTAAAGTAAAAAAAAAAAAAATTATTCAGCTGACAAACTCATGAGAGAGAAGAGCTTAAGGCCTGTTCTCACTCACTAGACACACCATACATGAAGTCACAGCTTTGGTCAGGAAACACTGAAATCAAGTAAGAGCAGTTATCTATTCTCTTTCAAAAAAGTGTCTTATTTTTTAGTATTTTWAAATATTTTTTAGTTTTAGGTGGACACAATGTCTTTATTTTTATGTGGTGCTGAGAATTGAACCCAGTGCCTCACACATGCTAGGCGAGCGCGCTACCACTTGAGCCACATCTCCAGCCCTCAGAAGTTTTTTAAATGTCAAGACAGAAGGCTGTCATCTTTTCTAACGCTGTTTCCAAATGCTTCCTAGCAGTGTACTTTCTGGTTTTCTATGTCCAAAGGACTCCATTGTTACAAAGATACAGCAGTTACATTTTGGAAGCAGAGTATGTTTCCAAAAATTATCTGAACCTATGAACAAAAATTATTGTGAACCGAGAGATTTTTTTTAAAGAATTTTTTAATATTTATTTTTTTAGTTTTCGGCGGACACAACATCTTTGTTTGTATGTGGTGCTGAGGATCAAACCTGGGCCGGACGYATGCTACCGCCTGAGCCAAGAGGTTGTTTTTAATGTCTCAATTTCTTCTGTTTAGGTGCCCTTATATTATTTGGAGCAATTGCATTGAATTTGGTACCCTCAAGTATGCTCTTAAGACCTATTAATATCAAAAGTGAGAACAATTCTGAAGTTAAAAATAAAGGTGGCAGTTTGTCTTCAAGTGGTCCAGAAGCACAGTGTGGAAGAGAAACACCATGCTTCAATGAGGAAGAATTTTCCATCAAGCATAGTACTATGCAGAAAGCTGGACAACCTGCTAAAACTACAAATCAAAGTGAAGAGTTCAACCATGGGCCTGACAGGAACCAATTGTTACTAACCACTAATGAAGAAAGTTACAAGAAAAAGGCTATTTCGTGGAATTGCCAACGACTCTTTGATATATCTCTTTTTAGGAATCCTTTCTTCTACATATTTACCTGGTCTTTTCTCCTCAGTCAGTTAGCATATTTTATCCCTACCTTTCACCTGGTAGCCAGAGCCAAAACACTAGGGATTGACATCATGGATGCCTCCTACCTTGTTTCTGTGGCTGGTAAGAAAGCCTACTTTAACTTCCCATCTAGAAGGAAAAGTGAACTTGGCTTTAATAAAATTTTATTTAAAAGATCAAGAAAAAGTCCAAGCCAGATAGATATGATGGCGCACACCTGTAATCCCAGTGGCTCAGGAGGGTAAGGCAGGAGGATCATAAGGCAGGAGGATCATAAGGCAGGAGGATTACGAGTTCAAAGCCAGCCTCAGCAACCACAAGGAGTTAAGCAACTCAGTGAGACCCTGTCTCTAAATAAAATACAAAATAGGGCTGGGGATGTGGCTCAGTGGTTGAGTGCCCCTGAGTTCCATCCCCGACACCCCCCCACCCAAACAAACAAAAAAGGACAAAAGTTGCAGGAAGGCCAAAAAAAAAAAAAAAAAAAAGTTTTTTGAAGCTAACGGGAGTTGTCAGGGTTTTTCCCTGCACATATTTATCTCTGTACTTTGTACATACACTCAGAGCTCTAATTACATAGTGGACCCTAACCCAAGTCTTACCTCATTCTTATGTGTCTGACCTAATAGATATCCACTCTATTGGATAAATACCAAATTTTAAAGAGCTGGTGCTTGCTGGGCATGGTAGAATATACCTGAAATCTCAGCAACTTTGGAGGCTAAGGCAGGTTCAGGACCAGCCTCAGCAACTTAGTGAGACCCTGAGCAACCTAGCAAGACCCTGTCTCAAAAATAAAAATAAGGAAGTCTGGRGATGCAGCTCAGTGGTCAAGTACCCTGGGTTCAGTCTCTGATACCAAAAATAAAAACATAAAAAAACTGGTGCTCAGTGGCCACAGCTACTCCAGGAACTAGAGAACCCTAGATATTCATTATAGTGCAGGAGTTGAAAGGATTGATTTTGGAGCTTGACTTCCCAAATCCAGGATTGTACTTATTAGCATTTTTTTTTAACTATTTGACCTTGGACAAGTTACTTGCCTTTTCAGTGCCTCAATTATTTCTTTATCTGTGGTATAGGTATAATGACACCTGCCCTTATAAGGTCATCAGGATTAAAAGTGTAATGTATATAGAGGCTAGCATGGTGCCTGGCCCACAGTAAGCATTCAATAATGTTAATATTTGTAGATAGGGCTGGGGGTATGGTTCAGTGGTAGAGCACTTGCCTATCATGAGCAAGTCCCTTCATTCAATCCTTAGGACCCCCAGGGGCAAAAATTATAGCCAAGTATTATTTCCCCTTAAAATAATAGTAAGACAGAAAAATATGGAACATAGTCACCAGTGGATTAGCTGACATTAAGGAGGAAATAGTTCTAATTATCTGGAAATTCACAATAATTCAACAGTAACTTTTCTTACTAACTTCTTTGAAAATTTACCAAGATAAAAGATACTCTGCTTCASTCAAGTAATGTTGTATGCACAAGAGAAAATGCCTGGCTAAAATAATTTTTCTGTACTACAATGTCTGGCAGAATCAAGTTAGATCATATTAACTCTAAATAATGGAACCAAAAGTCATAATATACAATCCCAATATGTACCTTAGAAAATGATAACTGATAGCACCCATTTTWAAATTATTTTTAATGAAAGAGTTTATACGAACCATAGAAAAGAATGTGAAATTGAAACAACTGGAGTTCATGCTATTTATTCTTAGTGAAAATCTCAGTGTTTACGTTATATTAGCTTCTAATAGGATAAAGGGTTTAGAATGCTGTACAATGAAATGGAGTGAAAAAGAATGTGGTTCTTAAATTTTACTTATTATATGATAGCTCCAATGTTCCAAATATAATCTCCCATTTCTAAACTTCTTACATATTTTCAAGTTAAGCATAATAACCTTAGGAGATTCTTACCCCTAAAGTTTCACAATCAATGATAAGAGTCCCAACATCTATGTTGTTTTAAACTTAAGGCTTTATTAATTTATTTCCCAATCTTCCACCACTTAACTTCCTTAGGACACTGACCTAAGAGTCGACTAGTCTTTTAGAAATCTCACTTCCTCATTTCTGAGACTTCTTAGAGGAAGGAACTGCAAAGCCCCCTGAGCCCAGGGTCCTCTGTAACCAGAGATTCCCAGTTGGGTATTGTTCTTTCTAAACACAATCAGAAACACGACCTGGTAACTTAATGGTTTCCTACTCAACTATGAAGAATACTTTTTGGCATTTCTGTATGTGTCTGGAGTGTTTGGAATGTGTGTAAATCATAGATCCTACTGTGGAAGACAAATGAAACCATCCCCTCCACCCCCCACCCCCATATCCCGGAGTAAAGATGGGGGTCATATTATTTGAGGAAAAAAGATGCCTTGTAATTCACATTTTTCAAAGGGGTTAGGAAAATGAAATCAGGATTTCCTAACACTTTCTATGTTGTTCCAGGTATCATTGAGACAGTCAGTCAGCTTATTTCTGGATGGGTTGCMGATCAAAACTGGATCAAGAAGTATCAATACCACAGGTCTTACCTCATCCTCTGTGGCATCACTAACCTGCTTGCTCCTTTAGCCACCACATTTCCACTACTTATGACCTACACCGTCTTCTTTGCCATCTTTGCTGGTGGTTATCTGGCACTGATACTTCCTGTACTGGTAAGTAGACATATCATTAACATTGTTAAACCATTAGTACAAGTAATAGTAATAATCTCTCCAAAAGAAAATGTATTACAATTAAAAAAAAAAAAGGCTCAAAAACCCTGTAACTAGCTATATCCTGTCTAGTTTTTCCTGTTACCTTGAGGGGAGGGAGGGTGAGAACTATTTAGTTGGGACAGAAAAGGAATGACAGCAAGAAAGGGCTCAGCAGGATTCCATTTTCCTTATCCATCTCAGGTCAGTTTTGCATTCTTTCCTCTCCTTCAGCTCCAGGAGTCTTTAATTCCTAGGCACAATGTAAGTTCTCAGAGAACTCTTCAAGAAAAAAGGGGATTTTCTTATCAGTGTGGCTTTTCTCTTGGTGAGATTATTGCCTTGGTCCTGTGTACTTTCAGGTTTTTTAAATCTATCTACCTACCTACCTACCTATCTATTTTTAAGTACTGGGGATTGAATCCAGAGGTGCTTTACCAGTAAGCTATATTCCCAGCCTTTTCTTTTTAAGACAGGATCTCACTAAGTTACTGAAGTTGRCCTAGAACTTGCAATTCTCCTGCCTTAGCTTCCCAACTTGCTGAGATTACAGGTGTATGCCACYGTACCCAGCTCCCCTGTTTTCACCTCAAATGTAACTGTGTTCTTGGGATTGTTGGGAAACCCACAGGTTCTTCTTAAAACCAGGTCCTCAACATGCTGGAAAACAATCCCTAGGACATTTTTGGCCTGATATTACCATTAGCGTAAGTGCTATAAGGACACTGGAGGCAGCTCAGGCAAAACTTCAAATTCCTAAAGCCAAAATCAACTCTTTGTAATATCTTATTTCTTAAAACCTATGGTACTTGGCTATAGTAGATTTGGGAGTATCACTGTCAGTTCAGACTGTAAATTACCATTTCCTTACAGAGATTAGTAAAGGTTCAGGGAAAGAAAAATACTCAATGACACCCTGTCTCAAAATAAAAAAAACAAGCCGGAGGATTTGGCTCAGTGATTAAGTTCCCCTGGGGTCAATCATTCCCTAGACCAAAACAAACAAACAAACAAACAAAAAAACCCCAGAACTAAATTCCCAATATACTGAAAACACTACCTACCTAGCAAAGTTACTATTCCCTACTTGATCTCTGCTTTCATTATACTGGGGACAAAAATGCCATCCAAACTACCTCAGAAGTCAAAATATTCATAGTCTGAGACAACATAAACAGTACTTGCCCCTTTGTAAGTCCAGATATCTACAGAACTTTATCTTTAATATGGCTAATGCTGAATTCTAATGCCTGCAGGTTGATCTGTGTAAGAATTCAAGAGTGCACAGTTTTTTGGGACTTGCTGGTTTCTTTGCTGGGATTGCTGTCCTTTCTGGACCACCTACAGCAGGTAAGGGCTGAGCCACATTCTGAGCAAATTTCAAAAGCAATAAAAGAAAACACTGATCCAGGATTAATGCTAACATGTAATGACAGTATAGGTTAAAGAAATGGAATCTTAAGTATCTAATCTGCTCCATCACTATGACAGGAAAATCTGCTGTTTATCCAACAGATGTCCCCTAAGAAATTTCTCATATTCTTTTGGGAATTTTAGAACCAGGAAGTATGTCTGCATATCTAGGGAGGCAGTCCAGAGTTTTGTCTCAAAGATTCATGATGTTTTAGGAAAGAAGATCAACCATGAGCATCTTTTATAAAAATAAGAGTTACTCCCACAGACTTTGAAGGCTACAAACCTGATACCATTGTTCTCTGATATGCCATATAGCCCTCCAGGGTCTGTATTTCAAAGAGGAAGGGAAAGGGAGGCTAGCCCTTCATATTCTATCTGTAGCAATAGTGGGAAGATACTTGACCTAAAGGGCAGAATCTCTGTGGAGAGGATATCTGGGGCCACTGGTAAAAATTACAAGTTCATATAGTATACATTTGGGAGTTCTGATTAAGTTAACTTTAGGGCTGAAGTGTGATTTTACACTCACCTTTTAAAAAACTGGATATTTTGTGCTTACTGAACAATTCATCCACAACCACTAAAATTTTGACTACTCACACAGTAATATTTGTAGGAAATAGCCTTAAATGTTAGTTTCTTACACACCATAGGTTCTCTCTTTGTGTGTGTGTGTGTGTGGTGCTGGGAATTGAACCCAGGACCTTGTGCATGTGAGGCAAACACTCGACCAACTGAGCTATATCCCTAGCTCTCTTAATACATTTGTACAAATTACTATAACATGAATCTCCAGTTACCTACAAAAAGGAATTTAGACTAAAATTAAATTTTGCTGCTTTCAGTCCTGAAATGAGACAGAGAAAGGATGGATTTTTCTGATCTTGCCCTACCATCACTTCTTAAAAATTAAGTTTTATAATGTTACATTTGTTTCTCTTACTATTAGAAAAGGGAAATAGTAGTAGAAAAAGAACATAAACTTATAACAGGAGGGAAAAAATACACCATTATCTGAGATTTAGTTTAAGTATACTCTAAACATAAAATCAACTGCCTTATTTGCATTTATGAACACACCCTTTCCCATGTTGTTTCTTAGCTTATATTTTACACCTGTAAAGCAGGCCAAAATTTCAAGTAAAGCCCAGAATTCAGACACGCACAGAGGCACACACCTGTAACCCCAGCAACTCAGGAGGCTAAGGTGAGAGAATCACAAGTTCAAGGGCAGCCTTAGCAATTTGGTGAGACCTTGCCTCAAAATAAAAAATAAACAAAAACTGATGTAGCTCAGTAGTAGAACACCTAGGATTCATTCCTCAGTACAAAAAAAAAAAAAAAAAGGCTTGAATTGTTATCTAGGGATAAGTAAAAGGAATCAACAAACTAGAATTGCCCAGAAAAGCTACTTTATGGCTAACATCCAGATCAGTGTGGTGCAGAAAACAGTTCAAATATAGTTTGTTGATACATTCTTTCAATTTGGACCCTTCTTTACTGGCTGTCCCAACAGTGGCCTTGGAACTTTTCAAGTTCATTAGGCCAAAAGTATAATGACATAACAGACACAGAATATCTTATTCAAATGACAAAGGCAAATAATATAATTACAATATATTTAACATTATACATGTTCTTGTATACATCTTAAAATGTTTAAAGAGTCAATATATATGAGAAGACAAGGCAAGTTTTGTGGACCCCTGCCTAAAAAGAAAAGGCTGTAGGTGCATATGTGAGTCATAAATCAATTTTTAATTTTATTTAATGAAAAAGAATAGACTACAACAGAGATTAAGAAAGAGGGTTATCTCTTTATTGTGAAACTTTTATTTTATCCACATACACACCTAAATAATAAAGAATGAAACATAAATTTCTTATTGTCAATCAATCAGCAAAAAATATCTGCAAGCCTTTTACTACCCAAAGTCCAGCATACCCTAGAACTACTTGTGAGGTTAAAAACAGCTCATAATAAATATTTGTATCAATTTTTAGATATTATTTAGGCAATCATAAATTTTATAAATTCTACAAAAAAGTAATAGACTTAATTGATGATAATTTATATATAGATTTTTATTTAGTCCAGGAGTTGTTCATAGTATCACAAACAAGATAATAATATACCAGGATTTCTCACTGAATATAATGTTGTGCCACTAAGTATCTTGCTGAAGGAAGAAAGTTCAGGAAAGTCCTTATGCTCCCCCCACCACTTTTACCCCTTATGCTGTTAAAAGTCATTCTTCTGTGAAACAACAAAGGGGACTTTACAACTGCCATTAGATTTGTTTCTAACTTCTGATTCCAATAGCAACTACTGAAGGAACACCAGAAATGTTGATGTAACAGATTAATTCACTTCTCAAAGGGTATGGGCATCTTACTGATGATAAAATACTGAATTATCAACCAAACTTAGATCTTCAGAATTGTGTGAGATTCTCATTTTTTACTTACCTAGATCTGTTATTACCAATTGAAAAAGCTGAAATTCCTATAAAAGATTACAGACATTTTTTCATTAGGAATCTGGCAAACAGTAAATCCTCAGTGGGAATACTAGTTAAAAATGGTAACATTGATTACATAAACAATATTTTTCTCCTTCCTGTATGGAAATGAAAAAAAATTCTATATAACATATTTACAAATTCAAGGAAATAAAAAGCATATAAAATCTAATAATTTTAAAAGCATACTTTTTAGTATTAAAAAATATAAATGAAAATTATTTAAATATCTTTCTCAACTCTGACTATGATAAGAAATAAGTGTAGCAACCAAATTCATTATCACATCTTTACTGAAAATAAAGGGATTGAAAAGATGGAATTGAAAACTTACCCTTTCTATACATACTCCTCTGTACAGCACCACCCTTGCCCACTCCAAYCCTTTCCAATATTCAGTGAAAATTTATTTACTAAATATTGAAAGAGAGCCAAAATTAGACTAAGTCAGTTTTAGGGTTGTTCTAAGCTCCCAGACTCAGAAGGGATAGCAGATCTAAGTGTAGGACAAATGTCATGGCTCATCCAAATGCAACTGCTGTTTTTTGCTGGCAGTGTACAGCATCCAGAACTACACACTAGCACCAAGATGGAAGGCTTGGAAGATTCTAAAAATGAAAAGRATTAACTATTTTAAAACCATATTATATTTTTAGTAGACCTCTATAACAAAAGTAAACCTGCAGAAAGCACACAATAGTGCCATGGGAAGAAAATTAAGTATATAATCATAATCTCCAATATACAAATCAGATGTAAACTATTAGTTGAAATTCCTAATTTTACATTCAAGGCACTGAACATAAAGTTCTGTTCAGTTAAAAAATAAAACCAAAATAAAACCAAAATAAAACTGAATGCAATTCCCCTTGTTCAAATACTACCCATTCCCAACTAACAAGTGCATATATTATGCTAGTACATACTTTTGTATATGTATTTACTTATTTAAATCAATCACAAATAATCACTTGAAAACTCCCTTAAAACACCATAAATAATTATTTGATTATAACTGTATATTCAYTCAATAATTATCAAGCTATTTATTAGCACAACATTTTGCTAGATGCCAATTGGGATACATAAGAGAAAAGTTACTCTCTCAAAGTCCTTCTGTGACTCTGGGGGTTATGGGTATGGTATACAATCTGCCACCTACACTGTCAAGACTTAACACTAGGAAAAAATTTACAACTCATGAAACTGAGAATTATTGGAATCTACATTCTTCTACTTCATTAACTGGAAATTTGATTAAGCCACTGTAACCTGTCTCTCCATTTCTTACCTTTGATTGAAGATGCTGTAAGCCACGGAACACTAAAGCCCTTAAAATATGTTGAAGGTTATCTCAATTAAGCAGGTGATTTCACAAAAGTGATTTTTTTTCTTGACACACCCTAGGAAAAACATTTCTAATCCTGAATAGATGCAAGTCAGTTGTAGTCCAGAATACATTAAAGTTAACTAGTTTCTAAAGTAGTAGTACATCTCTTTCTTGCTACTACTTGCCAACCTCATATCTCATCAGAAATGACATGGAGTCAAACTGATAATAYTGCACCAACTGTTTTATAAGAAAAATATGAAAATCCATTCTTTTATCTCTGTTCCTTTAGATAAGTAAAGATACAAAATAACTCAAACCCTTTGATCTGCTATATATCTGTTTGGAGATTGGGGGTAAGAATGAGACAAGTGGAAAGACACAGCCAAGTTCTCTGTCCTCCACATGTCCCGAGGAATACATTATACACTGAAGAGGCAAAACAAAATAATGCAAGCCATTTACCTATCTGGTGATTATTTTTCCCCACAAACAACAAAGCCCTCACAGAATTTCACTCTGATCCAGTATATCTAAGATTGATGAATACCTACAAAAACACAAAAAAAATTAATTCTAAATAACTCTCTATTGTGATTTTTAAAAATATGAGAGAACAGTTCATCCTTTGCAAATATAACACATTCAGCCAAGAAACTGAGCCTCCAAATGCAAATAGAGACCACAATCCCCCCACCCCTACTGSGAGCTGAGCCCAGGGGCACTTTCCACCACTGAGTTACATCCCCAGCACTTTTTATTTTTGAGACAAGGTCTCACTGAGTTGTTCATGCTGGCCTTGAACTTGCCTTCCYGCTGCCTCAACCTCCCTAGTGGGTAGGATTACCAGTGTGTACCACCAGACCCTGTGAGACCACAAAATAATCATTAAATTATCATAAACTGATAGACATTCCTGCTCAAAACAAAGATTACAACCATACATAAGGATATGACTTAAGACTAATAATTTAAAATAAAATAATCTTTTTACTAAAACTTGTAGCACACATTTTTTTTTTTWWAAMYYCCTAGTAAATCTTATTGCAAATTTCTAGTGTCAGGCCTTTAGTGAGTTCTTGTCTTAAAAAGGTTTAAATCTGGTAATTCACATTTCCCAAAGTTGTTCCTATCATGGCACATATATAAGATATTTGTATTGCATACCAAAAATAAAAAGACAAAGCTGCTAATAAACAACCAGTGGCTCAATGGATGAGAAATCAACTAATTGTCTCTGTACACCTGGGAGGTTGGCCATTATGCTATATAGTGGTAGATTTAAACTATCCAATCACAGAATTCCCAAACACTTATTTGAACTAACATTAAAGACCTTTGAGATTAAAGACCTTCTGGGTATAGTTTATGTTTTAACAAGATGACCGATAGTAAATTTACTATAGTAAGCCTCATACAAAGGATTCAGAACTCAGCTCAGCAACTAAATTCTGAAATATCTGGCAGTAAGAATACTTCCTAGGATGTTGAACTTTTAAGCATGTATGGCTTAACTCATAAAGACTGATTTTTAAATACTGACATTTAAAAAAATGAATTTAGAATAGTATATTGAACATCAAACTTGAAATATTATTCTTATTCTCTTTTGCTGACTTTAAGAAAACTGGTTCGGGGGTTGCTGGGAAGAATGGAGGTATTTTGAACTAGGCAGAGGGGAGGAGTATAGAGGTAGAATGAATCAGACATTAWTACCCTATGTGCATACATGACCAGTGTGATTCTATATCATGTACAACCAGAAGAATAAGAAGTTATACTCTATGTATGATGTGTCAAAATGCATTCTACTATCATGTTAGAATAAAAATAAAAATTAAAAACACCTGGTTTGCAAAACTGTTAAAAAAAGCTCAAGCAAATCTTAATTGTTTTAAAATTATCACAGGAAATTGCTAGACATTACTGTTCAAAACAAAGGTTACAACCATGCATAAGGAAATTACTTAGATTAACAATTTAAAATAATCATTATATAATAAGTATAATTTTATTAGGCATGAATATGAATTAATATGCATATCAGATGAATCTGATGCAGACAGTCCAGAGACCTTGATGAAATGCTTACAGAGGGCTCTGGCTTAATAATTCTGCATCAGTTGCCAGTTCACTCTTCCTTATGTTGGCTACGTGAAACAATAGTCAGCAAGGAGTGAGGACTCCTGAATTACTGCTGGTACATTATCTCCTCCTCCTTTTTACATTCACAATGCTTTTGCTATAATCATAAAAAAATCCAGTCTTTGAATACCAACATGTATATATGCTTCCATGTAAATATTACAGAGGCTTCTGAACTGCCAATAATTTCTTCTAAAAATATGTACTTAGAAATATTAAACTGTTTAGAGTTGGATATAGTCATTTCATACTGTTAAAAAAAAAGTAGGTATCTAATAAAATCAAATCAAACATACAATCTCCTTTTACTTTAAGTGGCAGACAAAGACTAGTTATTCCAAGTCAATAGACTGGATATTTTAATACGGATGAAGCACAAATTTTAACACTATGGGGATGGGGTTGTGGCTCAGTGGTAGAGCACTCGCCTGGCACGTGCTGGGTGCTGGGTTCGATCCTCAGCATCACATAAAAATAAAAAATAAAGGTTTGTGTCCAACTACAACTAAAATACAAAGTATTAAAAAAAAACTTTAACGTTATCCAGGAGCCACTTAAATTTAAGCTTGATTATGACAGCTAATATAGGTTTAGTAACTCTTATCCAGAATGCCTGGGGTCAGAAATGTTTCAGGGTTTCAGATGCTGGAATATTTGCATATTCAAAATGATATAGCTAAGGGATGGGGATCCAAGTCACAAAATTCATTTATGTTTCATGTATATCTTACATACATAGCCTTAAGGTAATTTTACACAATATTTTATATAATTTTGTGCATGAGACAGAAGTTTCATGGTGTGTAATTTTCCACTTGCAGCATCAAGTCAGTCCTCAAAAAATTTCAAGATTTTGGAGCATTCTGGATTTGGATTAAAGATGCTCAACCTAGGGCTGGGGTTGTGGCTCAGTGGTAGAGCGCTTGCCTAGCATGTGTGAGACACTGGGTTCTATTCTCAGCACCGCATACAAAGAAATAAAATAAAGGTCCATTGACAAAAAAAGTATTAAAAAAAAAAAAGATGCTCAACCTAAGCCGTTGGAATGGTGCACACATGTAATCCCTGTTACTGGGAAGGTGGAGGCAGAAGATTCTAAGTCCAAGTCCAGCTTGGACAACTTAGCAAGACCCTGTAGCTTGGTGGTAAAGCGCCATTAGGTTCAATCCCTAGGTGCACCCACACATTAAAAAAAAAAAATTTAGATTTCAGGAGGAACTCCTTTAACCAATTTGATCAATCAGTTCCTTCTCATACATTCTCATCACCCGAGCTTCCCTTCATGGTTAATACCTCTCCTCCCATTAAACTTCAAGCTCTGTGAGGGCAGAGGCTATGTCTGTTTGGGCTCCATATCCTTAAAACAGTACACTACTAGAAACACAGTAAGTACTCAAATGTTTGTTCAAATACAAGAAGGTAATTAGTTCTTGCCTTTTTCTTTTGGAAAATAATAGCAATTCAAAGAATAGTAGTATGCTAATAAAATTCACCATAAAATGAAATGGTATGTGCTCATTTTCTTCAACTTCCAGTATAAGGTTGGAGATGAGTTCTAAGTCCATAATGACTTGTGCAGATATAAGTCCTTAACTCAGATGAAACTGATTTAACTTCATCAATTAGAAATAAGGTATAAAGCTTGAATAACTTTCTAATGGGTCACAAATCAGATTGGCAAGTATAAAAAGGTCCCTTCCTTTGAAGTAGAGGTCCTGGCTGAGAATTACTAATGGAAAGATTTGCTTTACTAATAGAAACCATTCCTTCTTTCCAGGCTGGTTATATGATCGTATGCAGACCTACACAGGCTCTTTCTACTTCTCTGGCACATGCTATCTCCTTTCTTCAGTTTCCTTTTTCTTTGTACCATGGGCTGAGAGATGGAAAACCAAACASTCTGACCAGAAAGAGAACTACAATCAAGTGAGATCTTAACAAAAGAAAACCTAAAGGAATAAGTCAGTGAAAACCAAAGCTTGGGAAGAAAAGCTCCCTTGTTTGTAAAATAAAAAGGTAAACCAAGTAGTTTGGAAGACTCCATCTTGCTTTATCATTCTAAGGAACAGACATTACTGAGTAAGAAAACAACAACAGCAACTTTAAAATTAATCAGTTGAAGCACCAACCTTAGGTATTACATGAAATCAGTGGACTATATAATAAATTAACCCTCTCAATTGTGCCATAATTTGGTCACTGAAATATATGAAGATGAAAACTTTTTTTATTAAAGAAGAATGAAATACAGCCATTGGTTAACTAGAACTTTGAAATCTGAATATTAAAACCTTGCTTAGTGATGGAATGGTACCATCCCTCCACCTCTACCCCAAGTTCATCTTGTCTATCAACTAGAAGAAATCCTTGTTTTCTTTTTATTACTTTGTTAAATTTCTATGATAAACATGTATTTCTATGTAATAAAATATAAAAATTGCTTTTAAAAASCCACAAAACCTTCATCTCAGGATCTTCTGCATGGGAGTTCCTACCCAATATATTTCCTAAACAATATATTTTTTCACTTCATCTAGTTATCTAAAATAGTCTTGTTAAAGATCTAGATGTCTCTTCAGAACTATAAGTTTCATATTAAAGTTGAATAAGTGAYTTAATGGACATATATTTAAATTAAAATGTTTATTTTATTTTATGTGAAAAAATTATGTTTTTTTTTTATAAGATCCCATACCTTGCTACWCCCTATATAAGCACTGTGCCTCCTACACTCCCAGCTACCTATCTTTCCCCACCAGGTACATTCTCACCTACCATTTACAATGTGACTAGCTCAAAGGCTCACTACTGTGAAAAGCCTCCTCCACTATCCGGAGTACTCTTGAGCTCACATGTAAATCTTTTCCAACAGTCTACATGATTAACAAGATGGATGATGTTTTATTAATCTCAGTATTCTGCAAGACCTAGCATGAGCTTTGGAACAAATAAATCTTGAATGAAATTTCATTTATTTCAGACTTATTTAAAATGTTGGTCTTTCCAACATTTTAAATAAGTGGCACATAACAGTAATCCTAACAACTTGGGAGGCTGAAGAAGGAGGATCACAAGTTTGAGGACTAGGAAACAACAAGACCCTAAAAAAAAAGAGCTAGGGATGTAGCTCAGAGGTAGAACACCCTCTGAATAAATACCACCTCTAAATAAAATGTCTTATTTTATATGTAAATGTAGATGTCTGATTTAGCTTACATTCACATTTAAATTGATTACTTCAAAACAAAGTAAAACAAAAAACCCCCTTCACACAAACAGCAAAAATAGTGAGCTAGTAAAAAAAAAAAAAAAAAAAAAATCTCAGTTCTGGGGCTGGGGTTATGGCTCAGTGGTAGAGTATTTGCCTAGCATGTGCGAGGCACTGGGTTCAACCCTCAGCACCACATTAAAAAATAAATAAATAAATAAATAAAAAAAAAAAAAAAATCTCAGTTCTGGGGCTGGGGTTATGGCTCAGTGGTAGAGTATTTGCCTAGCATGTGCGAGGCACTGGGTTCAACCCTCAGCACCACATTAAAAAATAAATAAATAAATAAATAAATATAGAAAAAAAATCTCAGTTCTGCCACTTGTTACCATGTGATTTCATAAATTACTTAACCTCTCTGAGCCCCCAATTTCTTCCTCTGTAAAGTGAGGATCATGCCACAATGTAATTCATAGATGTATTGAGGATTAAATAAAAATATACTTGTACCAAGCAAAATACCCTTCATATACAGTAGCCACTACATTCCTTTCTTCTGCCTTCTATTTCAAAAAAGAGGAAAAAATATATTAATGATTTTCTAGGACCCATCCTCATCAATTCTTCCTTCCCTTTTGAGCAGTGATTAGGACTTAACTAACTTCAACTACATAGGGCAATTAGATTCTTTCTTCCTTCTACACAAACTGTACATTTTAAAGAGACCAACCAAAGAACTCCAAACTGAATTCTCATTCAGACAGGTTTTACAAATCTTATACAACACAGAAGTTCTTCATCCTACTCATCAGTCACAGCCCTTCTAAACATGAGTAATATGAATTAAGAAAGCCTGAATCCCTAAAACATAAGAAGTTAAAAACTTCTATAACTGTGTTCATTGGGTTAACAATTCCACTTCCTTCTCCGGCCTGCCACCCCTACCCCACTGAGCTGCATCCCCAACAATTTCTGATTTTTTATTCTGAGACAGTGTCTCACTAAATTTCTGAGGCTGGCCTTGAACTTGTGATCCTCCTACTTCAACCTCCCAAGCCACTAGGATTATAGTCATGTGCCACTGTACCTGGTAACAATTTCTGATGTTTTTATTCACTTTCAAAACTCCTATTATTTTCATGGGCAATATTATGTCATATAACAAATTTCTAGGAACCCATATAATGTAGGAATTATCACCATAAATGTGTATGTGGTTTAAAGAAAAGCACAAGTCACTGAATGTCTTTTCCCTTCCCCTTCAAGAGATCCCTTTGAACAAAGAGAGAGAAATATTAGACTTAACTTATGTGTGTGACTGGGGTGGTGAATAACTTTATTTCAAAATCTAAAAATATAATAGTCACTAAGGTATGTGTATTTTATATACAGTATTATCAAATTAATCTTCAAAATAACCTTCAGAAGCAGAAACTGTGATGCCCATTTTACAAATGAATAAGCTGAAGGTCAAAGAAACTAAATAACCCAGTAAACTGTTGAGTCATAATTTAAACAGTCTGACAAGACCCTGTACTTTCCCTTCTATATGATCCTTGCTTCTTAGCAGTACTAACAGATTATGAAACTTATTAAACTAAAACCAGTTATCTTATTTGTTATAACTCAAATTAGCCTAAAATTTTAATTTCTAGACTGAAATGAACACAAAGTGCCTAAGAACCAACTCTCCCCTGAAAAAGAGTAAAACCACAAATCTTACCTGCTACAGTGCAACAACATAGTTGCTAGCCTCAGCAACTTAGCAAGGCCGTCTCAAAGGCTCAGTGTTAAAGTGCCTCTGAGTTCAATTCCCAGTACCAAAAAAACCCAACAAAAACAAAAACATCATCTTAAGATATCATTTCTTGTGGCTCTAAGAAAATGGTACATCATGTTGGTCATAAAACATTATCTCTAGKCTGGGGATGTGGCTCAAGTGGTAGCACGCTTGCCTGGCATGCTTGCAGCCCGGGTTCGATCCTTAGCACCACATACAAACAAAGACATTGTGTCCGCCTAAAACTAAAAAATAAATATTAAAATTCTCTCTCTCTCTCTCTCTTAAAAAAAAAAACAACATTATCTCTGATAGTAAAGCATTATTTTAATAGCATTTTTAACTTTTCAGAGCTCATTCCCATCTATTACCTTATTATGATGTCAATTCTGTGAGAAAGTTTGGATAAGTATTATTCCTAATTTATACTTAAGGAACAAAAGCAAATTAAGATTAAGTTATTTGTTTAATGTTACAAAGCTAGTCCTTAACAAAACCTAATTACTGGGCTGGGAATTCAGTTCAGTAATAGAGTGCATGGAAGGCCTGGGTTCCAATTCCCAGCATACAAAATCACTCCCCAAATCTCATTATTGGTGCTGATTACATCATGGCAACTGGTTTTCTTATTTAGTGATTCTCTAGGATTTAAAATTCACTTAAATTGATTTGTACACTGTTGTCTGTTTGTACTGAGGATTGAATCCATTGGTGCTCTACCACTGAGCCAGCCCTTCTGATTTTTTTTTTTATTTGCAGACAGGGTCTCACTAAATTGCTTAGGTCCTCACTAAGTTGCTGAGGCTGGCCTCAAACTTCCCATCATCCTGCCTTAGTCTCCTGAGTCACTGGGATTACAGGTATGGGCCACCACRCCCCACCAGATGGAAAAAACTGAAAGGAGTGCAATGATAATTTTGTGGCATTTTCACATTAATCGAGGCATATAAATAAGTGATGTTACATGTGTTTGCAAAACTTAGGTCCTTAGTAAATAAACCCATTTTAACCATAAATCACCTTTTTCCAAGAGGAAAAAACCCCACATATTAATATTTTAATTGTTTTTTAAAAGATAGACATAATGCAAATCTTGAACAGTGGTTTCTCTGAAGATGTTAATATGAAATTAAAACTCAGTACTACTTAAAAAGCCTGCGTTTTCCCTTAAGCCTGAGGCATTAGGACTACATATTTGCCTCATATATCTCATTTGCTACAAATATTCACCCATCCGTCATCTCACGTTTATCACCTGTAGTCTTAATATATATACATAATCAAAAAGTAACTAAAGTGCTTGGAACCAGGCTTTTAAAATCAGCTTAAAATCCCTTGTATTTTATTTCTATGAATGTAAACTTGCATTACCTAGGATCCATGGGACAAATGAGACAAATCCCTTCTTTAAAAAGGACATAATCCCTGCTACATTCCAACAGAAATTAGGATAGTATGAAATTTCCTTCAACCAAATAAGAACCTAGGGAGACCTTTTTAGGGAAGTAGACATGGAGGGGCTGTCTGAGTTTGGCCGGAAATGAGGTAGTTCTTGAGACCCGAGACTTTCAGTTTTAAAACCAGGACAAGTTGGCTAGTCTTACAGAGTAGAGAACATGTCTGGACACTTGATAGCAGGTGGCATACTAAAGGTTTTTCTAGCTAGCTTAAAAAAACAAAAACAAAAAAACACTAATTCAGTTCTATTTTTATCTCAGCAAAGCCCCAGTTGGCATAACATAAACTAATAACAGGATGCATTTTATAGGGAGAACTCACCTTTTTTTTTTTTTTAAAGAGAGGGGGGCGGGGAGGGAGGGAGAGAGAGAGAGAATTTTAATATTTGTTTTTAAGTTCTCGGCGAACACAACATCTTTGTTGGTATGTGGTGCTGAGGATCGAACCCGGGCCGCACGCATGCCAGGCGAGCGCGCTACCGCTTGAGCCACATCCCCAGCACCGAGAACTCACCTTCTAGGCATAAACTGACCAGAGACTTGTGAAATAAAATTTTTAAAAAGTGAGTATGCTCTTATCCAGTAAAACTTCTTTTACCTMTTATACTGTTTTTACAAGTAATAATTTGAACAGAAATGATGTGTATGTGTCCAAATCTGGTTTATGTCAACTAATAATAATGTTCTCTTAGCAAAGAAAAGAGAATCTCATTCCTTTAAGAGAAGTACATCAGGAACAAGGAAATAAGACAGGTAACTTCTAAAGCAAGAGCTAAAAATGTCTTTCTTCCAGTATCTCAAAGTTAATCAGAGTTTAATAAGTTATTTATGTATACCAACCTGCAAATCTGAGGTTTGCTTACCACACATATTTCAAGACTAAATGCTGCAGCTATGCAGCATGGCACTCAGACACCATAGCAAGAGGAAGACTCAGCAACCAGCAGTTGTCTTAGGTTCAACGAATAATGAGTGTCTGCCTGGGTGAGAATAAATGCATGTTCCCCAACACAAGAACTTATCCTGCTTGGCTAAGAGAAGAGAAAGGCTTAGAAAAAATATTGGTCAGTAGAACGTACTTGTTTTATAATTGAAAGAAGAATCAGACTGCTACAAAGAGGCTTATAATTCATGCAGACTTTTAAAATGTCCTCTGTACATATTCTATACCAACTTTCACTTATCAGAAAAGTAGAATAAAATCAGATCTAAAAGGATAAAAATCAGTTTTATGACCCCCCCAAATTAAAAACAACTGAAAGTGAGAATTAAATTGTTCATTCTTTGAAGAAATGTGAAGTCAGAGTCACAAGAAAAATAAATCCATATTTAAACCCTTTTTTTATATTTAATGACTTGGTATCAGTTTCCACAAGTGAAATATGTACTTCATATTTGAAATATATTTCACTTATGTATACCTTTATGTGGAAAAYGACACCATGCCACAGTTAATATATGGGTTTATAAATATGGAATTAAAAGAAACTTACCCTTTCCCTTTGTGCAGCTCTGACTTCCAAACCAGTTTCTATAGAAACAGGTAGACAAGTGCCAGTGCCAGAA